ACGAAAAACTAATATGAAACAATGAGCTACAAATAAAGTTAAATAAGAATAACGTACAAAGATTTATATATTAAAACAAAATAAATCTTATTTTAATTTGTAATGTAAAATTTATAATACATATATGTATCATTGATTATGATAAAGAAAATCAAAAGTATTTTCCCTTTCTTTAGTAACCCTTATTCAACTACTACATACATGTTATAGATCTTGAATTGAATTCAATGTTTTAAGGGTGTGTTTTCTTTCTCTCTCTTTTTCTCTCACACAACTATCATTAAATCTATTACATTTTATCATATTTTCATTAATACATATGTGAACATTAAGTATGAAAACAGAAAAGGTAATACGATAAACCTTGTTTATTGTTTGTATTTATGTATAAGATTGTATAAAAGACAAGATTAAATAAACATTGATATGGTCATAAAATAATCAGATTTGATTTAATGAAATACTTTAGTTATTCTGCATTATCAGTGATTAGATTTAAACGAAGGTATAAGTAGATAAATAGGCAGTTTTATTTTATTTTATTTAATACCTATAAAATGTTGGTTTTCAAGAAGATACCAGTATTGTATGGACTATAGAGAATAGTGAGATAATACAATGGCAATAGTATCACATTGAGCGCCAGATCAGAGACGACAATAACCAGCTGAATCTCCATTAACACTCGTTTATATAAGAAGGAACTTTATGCGAAATAACATATTTTGATAATTTCAGCATATCTCCAAGCAGATTTCAAATGAGTTAAAATCAAGAATGGGTCCTATAACTAACTAAATAACCTCAAGAAAACACGTCTGATAGATATAGTAGATCTAACGCAAGATTTCAGTCCACAGTTCAGGCGTCTGAGTACAGAGGGTAGTTGATGAGTAGTCACATAAAGATGATCGTCTTCTGCAGTTTTGTATAGACCACAACCTATTTCTGAACAGATCGAAAACAAGTCCATATCAGCTATTCTAGCTTCTGGATAGACTAATTTAAGTATTCCTCTCATTCCACATTTTGACCTTGTTGATTATGCACTTATTAACTATGACTGTTTTTATATGATCGTATGTGTGTTAATTGCTCATCCTATTCATTACGTGTCTGTAACTTATTTTTGTCTGAATATTAATATTGAGTCACGCTTGATAAAAACGAGTTGGCTCATACTATTTCTCTACTGCGCGTCATATCGTCTCTCTGTTTGTCTGTTTGGATCAATGAGTGTAGCGAATATGCGTATTCAAAATTCATTTTCATGTTTGACTTATTTTATTGCGATATTCTCTAACGCGAATTAAGTTGATAAAATTATACGCGGGTTTGAGGTGTGTATATTTCGATAACAATCAGCGTGCGGTTTAACTGGAGTCAGATATAGGACCAGTAAATGCTGATCAACACACATGTATTATAATAAAAGAGGACTTGAACATAGAACACTCCCAATACGAGATTGTTAAGCTGTTTCTCCGAATGGTCGAAGACAATGAAGAGGAAATAAATGAATCGGTCAAAATACTGGATCGTAATCAAGTGTAATGGTCAGTGTTCTAGGAAAAGAGCATCTCACATTTTACTTAATTCTTTCAACTAAAATAGTCAATTGACGGGCAAAGTAAAAGTAGTAGAAGGCGGAAAAAGGCTAACGTGTATTAAAATTTTCGATATCAAACCAGATATTAGGCAACGAAATAATGGAATGCTTGGTCTCAGTAACGTTTGAGATATTTAGTTATTCCTAACAATTTTTTAGCTACATCCTCAGTAACGTGCTATAACTACTAGGCTATTTGTTTATCGATCGTTTTTAATGATTTTAAGATATTGAAATACATCAGATTGTATAGTGTTTTACACTTCTATAGCTGATTAAATAGATGGAAAATCTGCAAAACTGAATCGATATTTTCAGAAGGATTACGTTAAAGCTGGGAATCTAAAATTCTCTGAATCAAGGCTCGATAATTTGTAGTTACTTTGAAACATAGAAAGCAAATACTTAAATGACCTTTGCAAATAGGATTAGAAAGAGTTGGACTATCTACTCACAAAGATTGTTTGGTTTTCACAACCATGCTTTTATGAAGCATTTTTCTCAGAAGACCATGTTACTTGTGCATAGACTCTGCAAATACATAGAAATCAGCAATAGAGCACTAGAGTTACCCTGATTTATAATCCACGGTGATCGTCTAAGTAATTTCACCTTCTGCCGAATATTCAAAAAGTAGTTAAGAACAATTCTGTAATACATATAAGCGATTAATCTCTCAACAATTTATGGTACTTCAAATTAATGGAAAAGGAATTTATTTATTTAATATAATTTGGTTACTCATGAGTAGATAAAATCTACTTGCAGACTCTTTTTTATATCAGAGTCAGTGATCATAACGTCAGAAGGAACAGGTTTTGGACATATGAGATTCAATAAACAGATTTCACTGCCCACTAATAATTTTAAAGAGAGTGATGGGAACGAGTGAACAATGTCGTTATGTGGCTATATTATTCATGAAGTGAGAATTGTAAAACTATTCGCGTTAAAATTAAAAGATGGAATGATTTGACATTTTTTGTACTGTATAGCTTATGGCTTTATCAAGTTGAACGTTAATCATGGGGTTCATCTATAGGTGGTGTGTTACATTGAGGATGACTGTACTTAAATGAAACGAGACATATAAAAATATTTTGAGGCGAAAAATTCCTACATTGATCTAGATACATTAAATATAAACTTAAAATTTTAAAATATGATGTAACATCCTTATCGAATACCATTGGTTAGAAATATCTCACTTTAAATGCCATGTCAACAGGAATTCAAGAATTCACTTAATATCGGTCACTGATAAGCACACGATTATTTGATAATTATTTGGTTAATGTCGTTTAATCAAGTTTGAAAGTTATTTGTTTCACAAACTGAGGACAGCTGAGAAATGAATGCAACCTAACTGCGATAAGTCTTTTGAAAGTGAAATAGTAATAGAACCTGAACATATATGTTCTTCAACTCAGGGATAATTAAAGTTATTGCAAATTCATTTCAACTATGTAAACGTCAATGTCATATGATACTTCCGACTACTTTTTTCTAGTTTTGATTGAATTTAACTGCTGATCTGAATATTTTTACTTTTAGAAATCATTAGAATATCAGAAAATCAGATTTCTAGATCGCATCCTCTAAGACTGATTTTATTTGGGGCACTATATAGAAATAGAGTTTACTGGAATGATGTTTCATCCTAGTATAGGACTACTTCATGTTGTTCATCCATAATCATGTTAGGGACAGAATCCTGAGCCTTCATGTCTGACGATGAACATTTAACAATTAGAAACATTGGATTGATGTCCACTTGTACTATTTTAACTTTAACCAGCACAGCACTGATATGACGGGAAGAAAAGTCTAAATTCGATTGATTTACTCATTATGATTTTTATTCAATATTAATTTCGTTTTAATTCAATGTGATGAATGAATACTCAGTATAGTCGTTGTTTCTGTTTTCCCATATGACATTTTATTCTGTATAACTTACGATGTTATTGTATCAAGTTAACATGAATTGTACTCAGCACATGATTTATTATAACTAAGTATTTTTCATATATGTGATTTTGTTCTAATTATTAATCAAATATGGGTGTATGAATCAACAGATAAATGAACGTATTTCCAACTAGAGTCGTCGTCATCGTAATGACGGTAATAAATCTTCACTTACACCACTCATTGTGTTCTTACTTTCGCATCGAGCGAATTGTAATGGTTCCTCGCTTTACAAGTATAACTGATAAACGATTCCGACATATCAACGGCAATCAGATATAACATGTAGCATTCAATGTAGAAGATATTTTAAGCACAAAAATAATTCAATTCAAATAATGAGATTGTAGCGGTAAATAAATCCTCAAAATAAATAGCTCTGTACCTCTTCGACATAGGATGCTGACCACATTAGTTTTAATGGACTCACCTAGCTGAAGGCGCTCGGTCAGACATCCGCACCAGATCACGAGTGAGAACACCATGCTCAACATCCCCTGCAATCGCCAGCCAGTCCAGATCAGTCGATCCTCTATATATTGATAACCTATCAAATATATCTTCGAACCTTCTCGCTTCTGTCTATTGATTTCACTTTGTGAGTACAATTCATAATAGAAGGTGTTACTGGTTAAAGTGTTGTCAACTTCCAAATACCTGTGGCATCTTCAACATCTATTTCATTCCTAACATTTCTGAACTACACTATTCACGACAAATACCACCTATATGTTGAATCAACTTTTATACAATACCATAAAACTTATTATAGAATGTAATATGCGATTTCTTTTCATTTCTCATTGTTCTAGAAAGTTCTATTTCAGGTTAATTTAAAACAAATCATAACATTATTCATGTATATTATTTATTTATTATTGTTCTAAATCATTTAAACAAAAATAATATTACACAGACTAGATTCATTTATGTTAAATGAATAATTCTTAAAAAAGGTCAGTAATTTACTGAAATAAAATATAATTTAGTAAATAGTTGTTTCTTAATAGAAAAATAATGAAACTATTAATTTCTATTGTTAGATTTACATTATGCAACAAAAGAATTTGTAGAAAATTAAATGAGGTTACTAAAGAGTTAAGAAAGTAAAATAAAAGACTCGAAAGTGATGACTTAATTAATGTTTTTTTTTGTAATTTTTTAATTTTTTTCTTTTTTTGTATTTTTCACTTTTTTGTTTCTTTTTGTTTTTTTCCGTTTTTTGTTTCTTTTTTTTGTTCTTCGTTTTTTGTTTGTTTTAAACTATGGTTACCTGAATGACAATAATACTTGACTATTATGATTTTCATCTATATAAATACGAATAATATTAGTTAAAAAAAAAGAAGTGAATTTCATGTAATCTAAAAAAAGTTAACTTAAAATGATACAGTTTACTTATCAACTATTTTTTATTTGGATGATAAATGTAGTTGTTTGTCAGAAACCATTACATATTGGTAAGTTATTCATGTTATTCATATAATACAAAGTAATATGTCTTGAGTTATTTTGATCAACTTACTTACTTACTTACGCCTGTTACTCCTCGTGAAGGAGCATAGGCCGCTCACCAGCATTCTCCATCCAACCCTGTCCTGGGCAATCCTTTCTAGCTGCGTCCAGTTGTAATTCATCGTTTTCATATCTGCTTCTATTATCCGACGCAATGTGTTCTTTGGCCTTCCTCTTGTTCGCTTCCCTTCAGGATTCCAAGTTAGGGCTTGTCTCGTGATGCAGTTTGAAGATTTGCGTAATGTATGTCCTATCCATTTCCATCGTCTTTTCCTAATTTCTTCTTCAGCTGGAAGTTGGTTTGTTCTCTCCCACAGAAGGCTATTGCTGATGGTATCCGGCCAGTCGGTGTTGAGTATCTTGCGTAGACAACTATTTATTAATACTTGTACCTTCTTGATGGTTGTTGTTGTAGTTCTCCAAGTTTCAGCTCCATACAGTAGAACTGCCTTGAAGTTGGTATTGAAGATTCTCACTTTGATATTGGTTGAAAGTTGTTTTGAGTTCCATATGTTCTTTAACTGTAGGAATGCTGTCCTTGCTTTGCCAATCATTGCCTTTACGTCTGCATCTGAGCCTCCTTGTTCATCGATGATGCTTCCCAGGTATGTGAAGGACTCTACATTTTCCAGAGTTTCGCCATCAAGTATTTTGATCAAAGAAAATATTATTTTAGTGATTAATTTGATTGAAATTGTACAGGTTTAATCTATAAGTAAGTTTGATACTTGTACTTATCGAAGATTTGTACTTTCAATAAGGATTATTACTCATCAAGTATAGAACTGTTATCAGATAGTTAAATCAAAATGAAGTACCACAAAATTTGAAATGATTTATATGTATATATGATAATTATACTAGAACATATTGATTGAAACTAATAGTCAGTGAATAACGGTATTGGTTTGATTATTTATTTATTAGACTCTCAAGTTAAACACATTAATATTCACTATTGAGTCCTATACAATTTTTTAAATAAGCAAACTTTTAAGGTTTTGTTAATATTTACTTTAGATTTTAATACTACAGTTAAAAGAATATGTAAACTATTAAAATGGTTTTTAAGAAAATATATTTCTTTCGCATACCATGTACTGATTTCTAAGAAGTTATCAAATTGTATTAGTTATTAGTAGTAGTATTTAGATTGTGGTTAACAGAGGAATCCTATGCCATGATCAACGAATAACAGAGATAACTACTGTTAAATAGCTTTAAAAATGAAGTATTTATCGATTGGAATCAACAAAATAAATAGGGGTTGAACGTTTTCGTGAGAAACCGATACGTCCTGGATTCGAATCTCGGGAGGTGGGATTGTGGATGCACACTACTGAGGAGTTCCACAATAGAACGAAACGACCGTCCAGAGCTTTCAGGTTTTCCCTAATGGTCTAGCTTCATGAATTCAACTATTATATTACTATAATATCCACAAAACCCCTCTTTGATTAAAATAACAATATCCAAATATCAGAAAGGCTTTTTTTTGTGGAGACTGTAGTAATTTAATAGGTGAGTTTATTAGTCAATGAAAGCTGTTCAGTGTTTCCGAATTTCACATGGTAGTCTAGTTTTAATTGACTCATGAACTCAACTATTAAATAACCAAATATGTATCAATATTGACATACAAAATGTGTTAATAGTTTAGAGATATTGATTCCAGTTTCTTTTGTTGAATATCTCAAAATCAATTGTCCAGTATTCTTAAATTTTTAACGGGTTTTTGTAGGTGATTTCAGTTTGTTATAAAAGAAATTTTATAGATCTTAAGCAGAGATCAATATCGAAACAGTTCGCACAAGATACACATATTCCGAAAGAAAATGATCGATTCCAGTTGTGAAGATGAATGAGATAATCTAAATAGCCAACATATATGAATAATAATTTTACAGATTAAATCCATTATTATGGAAATATGAAGTCAAATGTAATACCTAACCCATTGTTGAAGTTATGCAATATTCAGAATATGTTTATCTTTGTGATATATGTATGTTAGATTTTCAAACAAATAGTTAAGAAGCTTCAATTTAATTTTTAAATCGGGTGGATCATGATCTTTATGACTTAATTAATCATATATTTTAGTGGAGTTTTGTTCTCTGATCTGGATGGTTTGGTTGTGGATCTATCATCGGTATTCTAAACGACATCATCAGCACAAACTTTAGGTACTAATGATGTATGTCATTCAGAATAATGATGATAGCTCCACAATCAAACCATCCAACTTAAAGAACAAAACTTCACCATTATCATCCACTTAAGTCACAAATCTTTTCCACCATCTCATAGTTAGACATTTATTTCATAATTTCTAATTTCAATCTATTTGATATTGAATATTGAACAGAAATCAAATACATATTCATGAATGTTACAGTGATTTAGGAATTGAACTTAAATACCTTAATATCAATGTGATATGCAACTGACAGATATGCCTCTCATTAAACATTATTGAACTTTAATGTTTAACATTTATTGTTAAAATTTGATCATGATCTATGTTAACTTGATTATTCAACTGTTAAACACAATTACACTTATGTGTATATTTTAAATGTAATTGTTTTATTTATTTCATTTATAGGTATTATCTATGATAATGAATTAGGTATAACAGGAGAAGCTTTAATCAACCGATTTAATGAATTACATAAAAAAATGGAATACTATGCAGATTTTCCTATACGAAATTATTCATTGGCAAGTCCACCGAAATTAAAATTAACTATAAGAGAATTTACTTTTGGTTTAGGTAAGTGATAAGCATCTTTTATTGAATAATTTGGTTTCTTTTATATTTAAATGTTTAATGTGTTAATTTAAGTAAAGTAGTGCTATTACTGATCCATGTGTTGAACTTTTCCAAGCCAAAACTGGTATTTTAAATTTTAAATCATAATATTAATTATATGGAGTAATTTAATGTATATTTAAGTATTTCTATTTATAAATGATTAATCATTAAGTAGTGACCAATGTCATGTATGCCAAGTATTTGTTGTTGTGTGGATCGAATTCTGTTCGATCAAATTGCTATGTGGCTACTAGTCTAACTAATCCAATGTCTCATGCACTATGTTAAGGTATAAAATGTCCTTTCGACTACTTCCAAATACTATCTTAAGTCATTTATATGCTGTACTGTTTTCTAAATCATAGTACGATAAAGAAGTTTATACATTATGAGTCATTTACAGATTATACTTCTCTAATAATTAATTAATTATTATCAGAATGGGTTTTGTGGAGATTTTAGAAATTTTACAGATAGAAATCATGAGTCAGTTGAAGCTAGACCACCATTGAAAACCTGGAAGCACTGGACGGCCGTTTCGTCCTAGCATGGGACTCGTCAGCAGTGCGCATCCACGACCCCGCACCACCCGGGGCTCGAACCCAGGACCTAATGGCTTCGCGCGCGAGCACTTAGCCATTAGACCACTGAGCCGGCATCCAACGGTGTTAATGTCTAACTTCAACCAATCCACGAAGTGGATGCGCACTGCTGACGAGTCCCATACTAGGACGAAACGGCCGTCCAGTGCTTCCAGGTTTTCAATGGTGGTCTAGCTTCAACTGACTCATGATTTCTATCTGTGAAATTAATTAATTGTTTTAACTGGCTCTCAGTCATATTGTAAATTATTTGTGTTTTTCTTTAGTCTTTCTACACTTCAAATAAATTAGTTCTTATTTATTTGAATGTGTAACTCATTGATTCTCTTATAATCACACACAATTCTATTTTAATCTATTCATAAATAAAATGCTTTACTCTTACAGATACCAGTCATATTTATTTATGTATGATTACATACCAGTTGAAGTTGGATTAGATCACTTAAGGTACCATCATTATACTTTTGGTACTTTGGTTCACTACTATAAATTAATTACAATTAACATTAGTGTGACGTTTATATTTTTAGTGTTCCAGATTTTGTTAGTACAGAAGAGATAGATCAAATTGGTCAATATGTGTTCATTATAAATTTAGATTAGAAAAAAACATTGTTCGTAATTTTTAAACTCAATTATATATTCTAAGCCAAAATTAGAATGATCTGGTTTCAAGTAATTCGATAAGACAAACATTTTCCATTATCATTAGTACAACATAGAATGGCTAAGTACAAATCGATTTACTATAATTTGCTAATATTTATTGCCATCATAAGCATAAAATTAAAGGTAGAATACAGAAACTACCAAAATACTTTCATTCAACTCACTAATTTAATATGATGATCTATGCATTTCTGAATGAAATGTAGTCTAATAATTTGCATTATATAGAATCAGACGGTTATATGGTAATAAATTCCAAAACCTACTTAACTAAGCAGTAATCATGTTTCAACTATACAACGAATTCAAGAGAACGTATTGATGACTTCGAGTGACAAGTTATGAATTGCTAAAATCAAACACGTCGAGATTGAAACACATACCTAGAAGTAATACTTAGTATTTGTTATATTATACAGTATGACAACTTGAATCAACACAAGGAGAAAACCAAGGTCCTCAAATTCAAAGCGGAGAACACAAATCCAATCACTCTTGATAGCGAAACTCTGGAAGATGTAGAATCCTTCACATAACTGGGAAGCATCATCGATGAACAAGGAGGCTCAGATGCAGACGTAAAGGCGAGGATTAGCAAAGCAAGGGCCGCATTCCTACGATTCAAGACCATATGGAACGCAAAACAACTTTCAACCAATATCAAAGTGAGAATCTTCAATACAAACATCAAGATAGTTCTACTGTACAGAGCTGAAACTTGGAGAACTACAACAACCACCATTAAGAAGGTAAAAGTATTTATAAATAGTTGTCTACGCAAGATACTCAACACCGACTGGCCGGATACCATCAGCAACAGCCTTTTGTGTGAGAGAACAAACCAACTTCCAGCTGAAGAAGAAATTGGGGAAAGATGATGGAAATGGATAGGACATACATTACGCAAATCGTCAAACTGCATCACGAGGCAATCCCTAACTTGGAATCCTGAAGGAAGGCGGAAAAGAGGAAGGCCAAAGAACACATTACGTCGAGGAATAGAATCAGATATGAAAAGGATGAATAACAACTGGAATGAGCTGGAACGGATTGTCCAGAACAGGGTTGGATGGAGAATGCTGGTGAGTGGCCTACGCTCCTTCCCGAGGAGTAACAGGAGTAAGTAAGTAAGTAATATTATATAGTGAATTGAATAAGTTGTATATATAGAGACCAAGAGATTTTAGCCTAATGGTTTGACAGATTTTTGATTGTGGTGAGACCTGAATATCATAGGTTCGATCACATGTAGGTCGTAGTTAGACAAAGCGAAGGATTTTCAAACGTTAATGATATGCTTTTTATTATTCTCTGGACCAAACGATATAATAAATAAAGCTTCTGTTTTTAGTGATATGCTGGATATAAGTTTCTAAATGATGATTAATCAACTCTATCTGATAAACAGTAATTCGCTCTATTAGTTGCCCTATAAATTTTGTTACATGATGTTTTACTTGTGAGTGTTTTAACGTGTTCAGGAATTCCACTACTGTTCAGTGTATGAAATAAAACTTATCCTGACATCTTTTTGATCACTTTATTTCTTAACATTACTTTTTAAACTTATTTGATAACTAGTATGAAACTTCAGTGTTACATTTTAAGCTTTTGATATAGCACAGAATAGACAATAGTTTGAACGTTTTCTATTTATTAAACTAAGTATCACTCAGATCATCAAATACATAAAAAGATATTTCTTAATTTTTTTAATTTTAAATAGTGTGTAATTTTGTTGAAAATGATGTACATGTGATTATAAGTTTAACAACATGTACCCTTGCACAGTTAATAGAAGCACAAATTACACCATACAGAATACCACATATTGCTATACCTAGACCAGCATGTTCCAGAGAAATAATTAATTTATTAAATGTTAAAATGACAACAACGACAATATGGATTCAACCAACACCTGAACAGACTGGTAGAGCGATATATGAAATGAGTGAAATTGAACGTGCTTCACAAGCACTATTACTAGTCGACAAACCGAACTGTAAGTGATAGTGCAAAAGTAAACTTGTCAAATTTCATAAGACCGATAATATACTTTCTGTGTATTATGAAAGTAATTTATCCTGTTTTGCACTTTTGATATGAAAATGATCATGTTTAAAAATAACAGCAAAATAATAAGAAGTTTTTACTATTTCATGCAATTGGTTCTCTTTACGACTTTGAGTAAAAGCAGAAAAACAATTGTGGCAAAATAATATGAATTCACCATATTTCGTGGTTTCTCATCAGCTGCTTACAACCATATTTGTATTTAAGTGATATGATATAATATAAGGTGATCGACATTGATAACACAAAGAATTTAAATAACAAACATTATCAATAAAGATATTATATATATATATATATATATATATATATATATATATATATATATATATATATATATATATATATATATATATATATTTGCGTAAGAACAGGTGTGAGGTTATGCAGAGATGGAGTTCAAAAACCATGGAAGGGGCACGTAAGGTAGTAACTAAGTAAAGTTCGGAAACATAAGATAGATTGTGTGATAATTATAGAGGATGTGATGAGTTTTTACAAGATTACGATCACATGAGAATAGATATAGAAGATGTGAAGTAAAGAGGTCATAATTTCATTGGAATCCTGAAACTATCCGAGTTAGGCTGACATTAAAAACCTAGAAGCACTGGGCAGCCGCTTTACCCTGGTATGAGACTCCTTAGAGGTGTAGATACACAACCGCACACACAGAAATATAACTCGAGAGTAACTGTTTCGATAACTGTGGTAATTGTCTAGAATTCGAAAGTAAAGGGTTATGTATTAACTATACAAGAACTGAAGAGTTTGATTAAGTTTAGAGAATTGTTACCGGTCACATTATTTAAAACTGTGAATTTGCCATGATGGCAATAAGTTGAGCATTGGGTAGAACGTTAATAATAAATATATTTCTTGTTGTCATATCCCGATGGGTAGAAAATGTGTATTTCTGACGTTTCGTGACTTAATGTAAGCCACTTCTTCAGTCGTTTGTTTACTCTGAAGAAGTTACTTGCATTACGTCACGAAACGTCGGAAATACAATTTTTCTACTGATTGGGATATAACAAAAAATATATTTATGATAACAAGTTGATGATTTTCTCTTTCTGGATACATAAATCAGGTTTCAGTTTTTTAATTGTTAGTACTTTGATAAAGAGGATGCACTCTGATAATTTTGAATGATTGGGGAATTTTAATGGTATGCTCATTACTAATTAAATTCCAAGTTATTGGACTATTTAGAGGCGTTGAGCTTCTTAATCTCGAATTATTTGGAACGTGCTTGAAGATGCGAACGTGTACTGTTTTCTCTGTTCTTCCAACATATGTGTTGGGGACGTACATGTTAATTGATGAATACAGTGGGAACTACTGAGAAAAAGACACCTGTCGGGTTTTATTTATTTGAAGATGTTTGTTCCTCATAAAGTGGTCAGCCTTGCTACTGAGTGAGCAATCTTCATTGAAGCATTTACTCTTCAGTTAATTATTCCAGTAATATTATCTCATTTGAGGCAAAAAGATAGAAGGTCGGTTTTCTTTTCCACTATATCATATTTGGCACATCTGTTGGTTTCAGTATACTTCTTAGTGAGTATGCACTCACGAGTACATAGGTCTCAATGAAGCCAAAATCTTGTTTCTGGCTTTTTTTCGAGCTGAGTTTACGAACGCGGTTTAAAGGGTTTGTACAATCCCTTATTTGTAACTTGTTGTACAGAAACTGTTATAGTTTTGATAAATTCCACTTCATGTGTTTTTGCGAAAGATTTCTCTACGTCGCTTGCCGCCTGAAGTTCGTTTCATCCCACTATTTAAGAAATAGAATTTCCCTTTAAAGTCATGTTCCATATTAAAGTTTGTATCGTTGTGTGTTTTGTTAAAGATTGAGTAGATACTTTGAATATTTCTGATTGTTTTAAACAAGAAACTTGTCACCAACACATCTACAACAAAATGTAGTTCCATTAACTAAGTGCTCAAGCGTCATCTCTTCCAGGTTCTCCATAAATATATCAGTCAGATTTGAACCTAAGGGAGTATCAATACGAATCCATCAGTTTTGTGATACAGTATATTGTTGAACTTAAACTGTATGCATTTGGTACATGTGAATAGGAGCTATCTGAACTTAGTGAGTGTTAAAAGAAAGAGTTCGGGATACCGACACATATTTTCAGCCGTCTCTTTCAAAGAGACCTTTGTGAAGAGTGATGAACATTAAAAGATACCAGAAATTTATCAGAAACATTTAAGCTAATAAACTTCTGTACAAATTCGAAACAATCTTTTAGGGAGCTAGTTTCTTAGAGACGAGTTCTAAACATTGCATCGACCAACGGGGGAGTTAATGGAAAAGTGATTTGTTCATAGATAACATTAAGCTTTTCAGGTTTGTGTGCTTATGGTAACCAGTACAAGTAATGATAACTGTGAGTTGATAGTACGTAGGATTACCGATTAATTTCTTCGTCAAGAGTTCTCCTGACTTTTTGAAAGTCGCTTCTCTGTAACATCTGTGATACATTTTCAAGTACTGTCGATTATACTATTGCACAAGGCCGAAATTATTCACACATTCGGTTGTTAGTAATTCTGTGTAGGGAACGTTGACGCTGATTGAGATTTCATTGTAATCAGTCAACACCAACCCAATGGGACTCGTTTTAAATTAGATCTTCTAAACACAAATTTTATGCAACCGACAGATTATTGTGCAAGATTATTGGAATTAAAATTTCAGCTATTGATCAATTGGCGTATGTGTCGATAATCAAACAGCAATTCATAACAATACTATTTTCTAATCCTCTAGTGCTCATTTTAAAACAAGAACTTTTTACTTAATTGTCTTTATCAAAAAGTATATACTATCGTCTCTTGATTTTAACGAGAAGCTCTTAAAATATAGTCGTATTTATAAAGTTGAACTCAGTATCTTGATAGTTTAGAAGACGCTTTATTCAGTTACCTAGCTTCAATAGATAAAGTGTTAGAATTGATGAGTTATCTAAAACCGTCTGAGATATATTTTGTAATACATTTACGTATATTTAGCTAACTATTGAAAATATTTAATGTTTTTAGTTTACAAGTGTATTTATTAATTTACATTTAATTTTTAATGATATACCATATCTACCATTTGGATTATATATACTATCTAGTGGAGACAAATATAGCTCTTGATTATGTTTTACAAGCAGAAATTAATGATGAAAAATTTGTTCCATACATTTCAACTCAAATGTTTTCACTTACTAATCAATCAAATCCTATGTATCCCACATCAAACACCTATGATACAATTGATGTTTTACTGAAACGTTTTCAAAATATGAGATCAAGTTCATCATCATTTCTATTAAGTCATATATTTCATATTCAAGTTAAACCACTTGATTTAAATCAATTGTATATGGTAAGTGGTGCCACCATATACAATTTATAGATGAATTTATTTAAGATTACTTAAATAGTCTTAAATAGTAAATCTTTTATTTTTATAATATTCGTCAATTGAAGAAGTTCATTGAGAAACTTGACCATAATTATGAAACCATATCAAAAGATCTAAGATAGTCAACATTTTAATTTAAGAGTTAAGTTGAAAAATATAATTATTATTTGACTGATCTAAACTGGCTAGCGGTTGCAGGAGAAGTTGAGCACGGTGTTCCCATTCGTGATCTGGTACAGATGCATGACCGAAAGCGTTCAGCTAGGTGAGTTCATTAAAATTAATGTGATCAGCATCAAATGTCGAAGACTTACAGAGCTATTTATTTAGGGGATTTATTTATCGCTACAACTCTAATCAAAGTGAAAAAGATTAATTGGTTAATGTTCATTAAAATGTTAGTTATTACCTATCGTTAACTTTTAATATGTGTGGCGTTGAAGGTTAGAATGTAAATGGGGCTCTTACATTTTAGAACAGAGTCCTCACGAATTTCATACTTTCGATTTAGAATGAAATTCGATACACTTTTTAAAATACAATTGTGTGATATCTCTTCGAATCTAATTATATCCTTTGTAGATATGAAGACGGTAACCTGTTAGAGAGTAATCAAATGCATTTTACTTTGACAGCATTCAATGTGAATAAACTATCTACAGAGTCAATGAAAATCAGAAAATGGAACAACTGTTTCACTTATTTGAATTTAATTTTTGATGAAAATCAACTTCATGCTACATAAAAATCACCAAGATTGGTCCTAAACGTACTCGAACGAATTAAATCCAAAAGATTCATTCAATTTTACCGAAATAAAAATCATGATTGTTAGTTGCCAGACAGTTAATGATGTATACAGTTAAAAGATTCTATTTATAATTGAAGACCAATCGCATACATTAAAGCTTCTAATCATCATGAAATCTGTAGAACGAACGTAGATCAGTACGGAGTTAATAATATTGGTTTTGATTAAATTCAAGTAAACTGTTTTCGATATTCATCTCTAACGAACATTAGACCCATCTAAATATTTAAATTTATTTTAACTAATCAATTGTACATATTGTTACCATCGGTGTCTATTTTAAATCACTATTACACTCTAATTTTAATTTCATAATGTGATAACTACGTTCGATTTTGGCCATAGGTGTAGGCAACTTATATCGACGGGTATAAGTAGTATGTAACATCAATCAGAAGTGGAATGCTTAGCACCAAAAGGTTGGAAGATCGAATTGAAGAGAACAGGAACAGGGAGTGATCGTTATGACAATGAAGGAACGATGATGCTTGAGACAATCGATGGAGTATTTGTAAATGAATTATTGAACGTATGGTTTTCATATTGGTTGTTCTCACTTGAGTGTTCGTTCACTACAGGTATACTGTTTTACCCTCAATACAATTAAAATCACCTGTATACTGTTTTATTATTTTAGGCTAATACAATTCAGTAACCATTATAACTGTTATCTTTTACTTACCGTCATAGATATATCAAGATAGATATACTTTTCGTAATTTCTACTGGATATTACCAACCACATTGACAATTACACCAAATGAATTTATTCGTGTAGCTACGACCAATCAATTTGAACAAGTGGCAACAGGATTTTTTCGACAATTTCCAATTTTAAATGAGGAAGACTGTTTGAATCTGAATATTGGTGAGAATATGAGATTATTAATGAGTGAAATATTTCAATGTAATACAAATAATATAACTGTAAGTTGAAAAATATTTACTTTTTTTTGAAGATCATGGTGAGACTATAATTTATGGACGACCTTTGATCGACGTTAAAGTGACCTTGAGAGTCTTCACCTAATAATTAGGACCAAATAAGGGTTACAAATCAGTGTGAAGAATTAGAAATATCATTTACAGTTGATGGTTAGAGTTAGGAGTTACATTTAGGGTTTTCATCACGAACTGATATAAGCTATAATGCCAAGCTCTATTTATCCAAATAGATGAGTGAATTTCGCACTGAAATCCGATCTTATATCTGATTGGTTCGTCCATAACTTATAGTCTCGTCGAAGATCATTATTAACAATAATCGATACCAAATAATGAATCATTTACTATTAAGAAATAACTGACTGAAAATTAAGGTATGTAATATATGAACTCATAAACATGAAGAGAAAATTAAACTTCAGGTTTACATATGTCTGAAGTCACATTTTTAGAATAAACAAAAATACAAAACCAGTTGAAATTCAGTTGAATCATGCACTCAGTATCTTATCTAATTCTAGATAACTGTCTAATTGTTCAGTTTAGAGAACAACGATTATCATACAATTGGTTTAAAGGTTATTTTCATCACAAGTTGATATATGTTGAAGATCCCAATGTGTCATTGGATAAAAAAATTTAATGCCTAACCCTAACCATCAGCTGTAAAACATAATCCTAATTCCTCACATTGGTTTATAATTCTGATTTAGCCCTAGTAATTAGGCGGGCATTCTCCAGATCACTTTAACGTCGCTCAAAGGTCGTCCATAATATCTAGTCTCAGTAGAACGTTATATCGTTTCATTTGCAACTCGTAAGCAAAATTCATTTCCATCTCGACATGTGTTTTGACTGATACTTGTACTAAGTGGTACGATACTGAATCATAATGCTAGTTATTTTTCAAACTTATGCAAAGATTGTTGCTGTAAATCCGTAATTAAATGTTGGAATTATCAACTTGTTGCTCAGATTCCACATAAACACTGTTTGATATCGTATGAGTAGAACAAACATATGAATTAACTTTAGCTGTTTTCTTTTACTATCAAGCTTAGTAAAAGAATGTTTCTTTTACTGAACATCAAGGCTTTCTTTTTTTAAATTTCAGGAGCGTGAATTGGAAGCTGTTTACATGATATTATTATCGAGTCAAGCTACAATTTTAATGAAAAGTCTTTCAATAGACTTTTGGGATATTCCATCTATTTCGGATTGTGATTCTCCTTCGTTTCAGCCCAGACCATATGGTCAATTGTTTTATCGCCTTCTTATTAGTGTAAATAAGTATCTATTGATTTTAATACATTTTATATCATTAATGTGATCAGTCATAAGATGACGTTGAAAATATATTATTTCAATAAAAGAAATAAAGCCTTAGGTGATGAATACTTGAAAGTCGTTAAACAATATACAGAATCATAGTTAGTATACAGTATCGTTTTTATGCATTCATTTTAAGTAAATATTTTTATCAGAAGGGGTTTGTGGAGATTTTAGAAATTTTCACAGATTGAAATCATGAGTCAGTTGAAGATAGATCACCATTGAAAACCTGGAAGCACTGGATGGCCGTTTCGTCCGAGTATGGGACTCTTCAGCAGTGCGCATCCACGATCCCGCACCCCGCACCAGGTCTGTTGTGAGATATCAGCTCACTGAAGACAATGGTATATGGTGGCGCAACTTCGTGGATTGGTTGAAGTTAAATATTTTTACTCAAGGATTTCACCCCGGTTTATGTATAACGAGAGAGAGAGAGAGAGGGAGAGAGTGAAACCAAGTTTGTTTCTTTATGTTGACATGTAAATGTTAAATATATTGGAATGATGTATTTTAAAAACGCTAGACAATAATTGTAAGGGGGATAACAAGTAGTTTCAAGATTATAGGTAATTCTTGTATAAAAATATGAGCTAGCATGAAACTGTTTATTTTCTAATGCCTCCAACAAACTAACATGAATATTTATAAGGACTTGTTCTCTTTGTTCTGATTAATTTTCATTTGATCACTCTGATACCATTCGAAGTACATTTAGACTAGAGGTAAAAACAAAGAGAAACACATTTCCTGTAACTCACAACTAATTACAATCTATTAATATGGCAAATAGTAAGCAATACGATGATTTTAGTTTTAATCTTTCATAAGTGATACTTTCTGATTAGGATAACCCTTTTTTAGTGACATTTTGATCTATTACAAATATGAACCTCAATATTTAAAAATGACTAGAAATGGCGGGTAAGAGGAGACAAGGTTAATGAAAAAATAATGTGAAAATGATTTGAAACTTCACCACTCTGGATAATAAGCTAATATTACCAGGGTAGGTTTAAGGTGAGAAAGTTTATGGTGCAGTGAGACCTACAATAGCTTTGGCGGAAAAAAGCCTGTCTACATCACCTTACCATTTAGAGGTGATTCAGATAACCTTTTATTGAAACAAAGGCTTAAATCATGTCATTAACGAGATATATTGTGCAGCGGAGGCCATTATCAAGGAAACAACAAGGTTCGTGCTTCATCGAAAACCTATAAGAAAAGAAAAATATTACGTCACATCCCACTGTGCTTACGAATTTAAACGTGTGTGTGTGGTCGCACATACATAAGGAGGAATAATCGTGATTTCAAAATTAAGGTGTGTGAACATGTACCTAAATGATTGCAAAAACAAATAAAATCGAATATCCCTATAAGAGTAGAGGATAAACATCCATCATACTCTATTGCCAAACACATAATTGAAACAGGTCATAAGATTGAACTTAACTCGGATTTTGTAATGTTGTACAAAAGTGTAAAAGGGTGTATACTAAGGTTTATAGAAGCCTTAGCCATACGAAAATTCAAACTTTTTGGTAGAGTTTTGTTCTCTGAGCTGGATGGTTTGGTCGTGGAGCTTTCATCGTTCTTCTGAACGACATCATCAGCACAAACTTCAAATAGAAGTGAAGTGTTTGAATTTCTCCACATGTGTTTCAAAGCTTGTTCTGTGCGCCTCGATGTTGATTGGTTCTTATTGACCTTAAATTTGTCATTGTTTACTTCTTTGTTTTGGTTGTGTCTTTCATTGTTTTGATTTTTGTTCTTATGTTTGTTTATGATTTTTCTGATTGGTTGATAAATTGGATTAATTTCAATATGCTTGTTGATTGCTGATTGACCTGAGTGCCAGGCTTCACTTCTATTTGACGTTTGTGCTGATGATGTCGTTCAGAAGAACGATGAAAGCTCCACGACCAAACTATTCATCTCAGAGAACAAAACTCCACCAAAATCATCCATTTGAGCTACAAATCTTCTCTACCATCTCGAAAATTCAAACCTTCTGTGTGTATTGAAGAAGGTGAACAGCTCAATATTGGCCCATTTAGTACAAACCGGTCATAGTGTCAGTATAAACCAATCTTTTTCAATTATTTATAAGGTAAGTAATTTCTTGCCAAAACTGATCAGACTGAAAGTCCTTCAAACGGCTGAAACAATAGCCATCCGGATGAAGAAACCGGAGCTTTGCGTACAGAAGAAATATATTCAACCACTCCTCCTCCCCTGGCCGACATCAAGACCAATTAATCAATCTTAATCTTAACTATTGAATGAACTAATTTGACTATGACCTTTCGTAGTCAATTGTAATTGTCCCTGTTTTCTTTATTCATAAATCTTTGTATTATTATTATTATTATTATCATTATCATTAATCTCCACTATACATGATTCATTCATTTCGCATTCACCCCTCCGTATTACGTCTTACTTATTTGATCGAATTGTAATTGCACTATTATTTCTCTCTCACCCTATTTGACCCATATTTATTATGATCATGGATCTTAAAATTTCACTTAACATATAAGCTGATTCAAGTTAACATTCGATATAAGTCATATCAACATTAACAATTTTATTGTATTTTGTTTATCACAATCCTAAATTCACATTCTCTAAACGATGTACATTGCCCTTAACCTGACCATTTTTTCGGATTATTAATTTGGATATATAATTGTAGAATCTGAAGAGAATTTATCGAAAAGAATATTCTTCGTTCAACTACTAGTCTTTTAATATGACGAGGATCTTTAAACTATTGAAAAACAGTTTGTTCTCACCTTAACTATTTTAAAAGTAGATAATAAAACTTACAAATAAACCGTTAAGTATACATACATACTTTCAATATATTGTAAATCATATCATCAATTAATTCTATTTATTTTCATATTCATTATATTAAATTTAGCTAGCAGAATTACCAAAATGGAAAAATTTATTATTCTATTCATTGGAAACAGATGTAGAAGGAAAGAGTAAATTATTATTAACTGGAAATTTCTCAGAAAATGGTGATATTCAATTAAGTGAATATGCAAAATTTGTAGCAAAACAAGGTTTATTAAGCGGTTTATTTCCAAATACATTTCGTACATTTCAAAATAAAACTATCAATGTTTCAACATCATTTGTGAGTTTTATAGAAATTTATAATTTATATCTAATTGTTATTTTCTTTTTCATTTTACATATAGTATCTGATTATCAGAATGAGTTTTGTGGAGAGTTTTAGAAATTTCACAGGTTGAAATCATGAGTCAGTTGAAGCTAGACCACCATTGAAGACCTGGAAGCACTAGACGGCCGTTTCGTCCTAGTATGGGACTCTTCAGCAGTGCGCATCCACGATGCCGGCTCAGTGGTCTAGTGGTTAAGCGCTCGCGCGCGAAGCCAGTGGATCCTGGGTTCGAATCTCGAGTGGTGCGGGATCGTGGATGCTCACTGCTGGGGAGTCCAATACCAGGGTGAAACGGCCGTCTAGTGCTTCCAGGTCTTCAATGGTGGTCTAGCTTCAAATGACTCATGATTTCAACCTGTGAAGTATCTGATTACTTCTTTTTAGATTATAATAGTGATGAGACTATAATTTGTGGACTAATCAATCAGATTTAATATAATAGATCTTGGATTCTAGAATGAAATTTATCCATTCATCTGGATGAATATTATTTCGGCATTATTAGCTAATGTCAATTAGTAATGAAAACTTTAATCATCAATTGTAAATCACAATTCTAATTCCTCACATTGGTTTATAATCCTCATTTAGTTTTAGTTAGTAGGTGGATATTTGCAAGGTCATTTTTGCGTTGCTCAAAGGTCGTCCATAAATTATAGTCTCACCAAATAACTTAAATACATATTATGTTGTAAAATTCATATTTTGATTTACTATTTACAATGAGATCAGATATTACATCGATCTTCTTGTTGATGATTATCGTTCTTCTACGAATTCATAGTCTTGTAATTGTTCACACTAAAAGTTTTTTGAGTGGAATAGTGAATTAGATGTAATAAATGACTCATTTCAATTTCAGTAAACATAATAACTTCACAGATAATTCCTTATGTAAATTATCTAAGTTAGCTAATTTAACCATAAGAGCAAGTGAATAAGATATCAGACTAAATTAAGATCTCAACAGTTGAGATCATGAGTCACTTGAAGCTAGACCATCATGGAAAACCTGGAAGCACTGGACGGCCGTCTCGTCCTATTGTGTGACTCCTCAGCAGTGCGCTTCCACGACCCCGTCCCGCGGGATTCAGACCCAGGACCTATCAATCTCACGCCAGGCGCTTAACCAACTAGATCACTGAGCCGGCATCCAACGGTGTTAATGTATAACTTCAACTAATCCACGAAATTGAGCGACACATCCAGGATTATATGATTTTATTTATTTCAATCAATATGTAATAAGTTTTGTGAATTAACTTATATATTTCCATTTATAGGATCCACCATACATTGTACGTGGTCAAATAACTAAAGACAATGAAGTACTCAATGCAGAGGGTTTAATTATAGATATATTAAATGAATTTTCACTTCGACTTCAATTTCGGTTAGTTCGATAGTTTTTTTCCATCTTCTTTAGGTTAAATTTATTTGAAAATACGTTATGATTTTGGGATTGTCAGACTTGAATAAATATTACTTCATTACTTTAATATAAAACCATTAGTTACATACTTATTTAACTGAAAATCCATAATCATAAACTAAACAAATTTTGTTGATTAAACTATATTCAATTAATTGGTTTGTGAAAACTTGTGTAACCAGAAGAGAGTAGTTTTCATCGTTGACTGATATTAGATGTTACAATCTTGAACTAAACATTTATCCATTTCTCTCCAGGTTGTAATAGTTTACCAATTAATGTCAGTGAAATGAAGCCAGACTAGTTTTTTTTCCAGGTCTGTTAACGGCCACCTTAATTCAATGAAATCGAACTCTGAGTAAACTTCTTTAAAAATATTTTCATATTCATCCTAATTATTATTTTTTTGGATCAAGTTACCGACTTTTCCTCCCACCTGACGGCGAATATGGAGTGAAAATTACAAATACAACATGGAACGGTATGATTGGTGAATTACTGGCTGGAGTAAGTATTAAAAATCTTAATTAATTAAAAAGAGGTTGTTACCAATTGTTTATCATATTGGAATTCAGATGTAAAGGTCCATAATGTTTATAATCTTAACTAATTACTTCATTTGCTCAGCATCTTGTGATATGAATTTAGCCCTTCAGGCGTAATTAGATCAGTATTTTCACCATTTAAAATCACACAATACTGTTTAACCGTCCAATTCATAGTATTTTGCACAGTCAGCTTGGCATAGAATAGAAGTCAGGGCCTTCAGTTCTCTCAGCGAATTCGAGCTACTTTGAAAGAATTAAGCATTCTACAGTAAAAGCTTCCAACAGACTAAGTTGAGTCTTTAGAGTACTTACTGATTAAAAAGAAAGTAATGCTTTACTTTGCAAGTCAATATCAATCAATATCCATTTAAAACATAATACCACTCAGTTATTAGGCTAACTGACTGGATATCGCAATACAGTACGATTGAAGGTAACCACTAAAGTGTGGTAAATCAATATTTTACTTAAATCAGAAACTTAAAAAAACATATTACTTTTGTAATGTTTGTTTTAGCTTCTAATATGATTTTGATAAAGGGTTAAAGTAAATAAATAAGATAAACAAAATTTATACAAGACGATCAATTTTGGAATTACCATTTTCAATTACTTGAATGTTTTTTTATGAAAATCTGAGCATAATTTATAAGTAAAACAACAGTCAATTAAATGAAAACATTACGCAACATGTTTTACTGATTAATTCTTATCGAGACTATACTCCAGTCCCATGAGCTAATTACTTATATTTAACCTGTAATAAGTTGAACTGATATCATGTAAACTCTACCTTTTTAAAATGTGTTGCTCATCAAAGGCGGCCTGCTTGAATATCTGGGCTACCTGTTCCTCCGATCTAGATATTCCATCAAGTTATCTGTTTTGTTGTTTGTTTTGGCACATCATTATGTCTATTGTGCGCACAATCTATTCAGGCGCGTTTATGAAAAGTTTACAACCTTTCGCTATACGGGATACAAAAAGGTATAATCAGCAACATCCTGGTGGCTGGCAATATGCATTGAAACGAATGAACAATAATCTAATGTGGATTACTGAACTCCTAACATTTAACTGGTCATCATTCAAAATTTATCGTCACAATCGATCAAGGTATAAGAAAAGGAAACTTGTTGAAATACTTTATGCTGAGAATTCTATGTTGTATCGAAAACATAATGTTGAATAAAGCTTTTAATAATAAGAATAAAATTTCTTTAGTTTTAACACAATTAATATATGTTTTGTATGTTAAATCAGGATTAATACTAAATTTGATCAAGTTTAAATATACATTTGTAGTAATTCATTCGACATAAGAACTTCAATTCTGATGGAGTTTTGTTATATGAACTGGATAGTTTAGTCGACTGATCAATTGCAGTCGAGCAAACAAAATATAAAAATCAATTTATTCGTTGTAGTTACTGATTAACATTAATTTCTCAAATGGGATATTTTAATTTTTAATTTTTAGAGAACTGATATTATAGCTGCACCATTAACAATAAATAAAGAAAGATCACAAGATCTTTTCTTTGTTGGACCATTTATGGAAGATACTTTAGGGATTTTAATAAATACTCCTGAACAAAATCAAGAATTATTTCAAATGTTTCTACCGTTTCGTTATGATATTTGGTTATGTTTAATTGGTTCAGTATTTATAGCAGCTTTCCTAATAACAATATTTAGTATAATCAGTCCATTTAGTGCATGGAATTTAGCCTTGCCAGGTGCTTCTTCTGATGAGGTTTCAATATACCACAGTGTTTGGTTTACAGTTGGTGGTATGCTTATGCAAGGTAAGTTTAAAATGTAGAAAGTTGACTCCACAGATTTATCATCTCAAAATATTCAATAATAATTAGGTATGAATTATATATAATATAGACTAATAAAGTTACAATGAACAGATTTTTATATCATACTAAGTAAGGTGTCCTAAAAACATCTTTCTTTTCGAAGATATCATTTATTTAAGCTATAAACTTGTATTTATAATTGATTGATAAATATATGAGTCGATAGGAGTATGGAAGAGATTACACAATACAGTGATCCGACATTTCAAACATCAAAACAAGATCAATATAAGAGAACCTGATCAACTCTCAACACGTTACTCAAAAAGAATCATCATTCAAAATAATCTATACAACTAAAAAAGAAATAAAATGGATTGAAGAGAGGTCGCATCAAAAACAGCATCGATGAGGTGTTGACAATCCACCAATTCAAGTCTGAACTCTGTGTGCAAAAACGACACATCCAATCTCTCATTCTACCATCATCCTAATGCCCTTCTCCACTATGTTTTGATCTTGTTTCAGTTTGTGATAATAGTTTAGTGTCTTTCTAGTTGTAATCAGTTATCGTTATTGTTCAACAGTTTCTCATGATTATTCTTCATTTGTTATTATGACCTCTATGATTTTCATTTCAGTGGACATTTATCTCTATTCTTCTGTAACCCCTTGATTATTACTTAAAGTCATTTGATATTTGTAATGTTGCATCACTGTATTGTGTAATCTCTTCCATACTTCTATCGGTTCATATATTTATCAATTAACTATAAATACAAACGATATTAGAAGGGGGTTTTGTGTATATTATAGTAAGTCTAATAGTTGAGATCATGAGTCGATTGAAGCTAAACCACCATGGAACACTTGGAGGCATTGAACAGCCGTTTCGTCTTATTGTGTGACTCCTCAGCAGTGCGCATCCACGATCCCACCTAGCAAGGTTCGAACCCAGAACCTATCGGTCTCGCGCGCCAACAAATGATATTACTTGAAGAATTTCTATACTGACTTCTATTTTGATTCAAATTTATGGATAATCTTCAACCAACAGTAGATCTTAAAATCTTATTTTTTATTGTAAGCACCCATTGAATTTGGCTATCTCGCGTATTATTTCAGACAATGAAAATTCATACTAGATAAGAACTCCTTTGAAGGCCAATTATTATTTAAAAATCTATAAGATTGTCAAGCAGCAAAATCCACCACATTTTACTGAATCGGAATAACTCAGTGAATCTTTATAGGTTATTTAAAAGTATTTTACACAATCTAGTGCCTATCAGGACCCAGCAGCTAAGTGGAAAACGCGATGACATGTGAAGCGAACGATACTGGGTTCGAGTTACGGAGTGATTATTGATTCTAGGAAGCACGTAAATCCAGCTTACGAGTCTCAAATAAGATGAAATATACGTCCTGGATTCTACTGCTAACCACCATCTATTTTTACTTATAAAAGTATTTTGGTTGGTATTTAAAATAAACTAATATTAAAAATGTATTATGAAACGATTTATTAATTAAATGTTTTAGGACAAGAACTGCGTGCCATTGCTTGCTCTGCAAGGACAGTAACACTTCTGTATTGGCTTTTAGTTTTGGTGATCCAAGCCACTTGGCAGGCTGATTTGACAGCTTTTTTAACTAGGAATACAATACAAATACCTGTATCGTCGTTAGAAGATCTTGCAACTTCAGGATTATCATTGGGAGCTGTTAAAAACAGTGGTACAGTAAAAATGATACAGGTTTGTTTCTTTTTAACATATTTTCGGGTAACCTAATATTTAATGTTTCTTTTTATGGTATACTTCAAACCAGACAGAAGCAAATTTATGTGTCATCAAATTGAAATTATCACATACAGAATAACAGGTTGTCGTAATTCGTCAAAGTTAAAAAAAAATACGTTTTCTAAAAATCTAACTTATTCATAATTTGTTTTATTAACCGTTTAAGTTTTAATAGTGATAATATATAATAGTGATTTTAGTTTGTTATCTTATAAGTATGCGGATTTTAGCATTTGAGTATTGAAATTACGGGTCGATCTAAGCTAGACCACAACTGAAAACCTAGAAGCACTGGACATTTGTTCGTCCTAGTATGGGACTCCTCAGAAGCACACATCCATGATCCCGCATGAGAACTCGAACTCAGAGTCTGGAGGTTAAACGGTCGCTTGCGAAACTGAAGGTGTTGGGCTCGAGTCCAACATGCAGAATTGTGGATGTGCCCGGCTGAGGAGTTCGACACTAGAATGAAACGTCCATCTCGTGCCTTCAGTTCTTCAGTGGTATTCTAGCTTAAACCGACTCGTGACCTTCACTTGTATTTCAGTTGCTTGTCTTGATACTAATTAATCACTCATTACACAGTATTCAGAAATAATTGCAATTCCAACAACAATGACAGGTTGTGTATATATCTTAAAATGAACCGTAACCTTTATTCTGAGAAGTGAGAATGAATACGATTTGTCAAGGTTTGTGATTTCTCTTTGTTGTTATTCACGACTAAATGTGATCAGTCCCTGTTGGAATATCCCAATACCATACTTGTTTGCGGCTATCGTATCTTGATAGCCTGGTAGATAATGCTCTGGAGTTTAAAGCAATAAGTACCGCGATTGAATTTAAGTGTAGATATCAACACTGAGATCCCGGTAAACACCAAATAGGAAGTAAATATGGGTCCTAAATTTAACTCGTAGCCAATAATAAAGGAGAAATGGTGATATTATATTATGAGAAGATAAAAAGTAAATGTACTTTATTGATGAATGTGCATTTTCCTCTGGTTAACTGTTGATTATGTTGTATTAACAATAGTACATTTGGTATGTACCTCTTTTCGTAAACATTTTTGTCTTTCAGAGTGCAACTTCCAATGAATATTACTCAATAGTATATGAAAAAATTATGAAAAATCCAGTTACCCTTAGAAACATTAATGATAGTATAGCGTACGTCCGCAACAGTACTAAAAATGTTGTACTAGATGACAGAATACAATTAATGCATAATTTACCTGACAATGAGGAAACTTTGACAGTTGTTGATGATAAGAAAGTTATAGTACCATTTGGATTCGCTGTAAGGTTAGGTGAAGAATACGCTCCACTTATGCTTAATTTGTAAGTTATTCCATATGACAGCATTTTCATTATTATCTAAAGCCTTATCAAGTCACCATACCTATTCGTAACTTTTGTTCAACTTAGCTATAGAGCGATAAAAATTTATATTTCATTGATAATTGTATGATTCAAAGATATATTCCTACAATTAATATGTGTACAAAGGTGACCGTAGTAACTCAGAAAGTAACATAAGGGTAGTGATGTGGATTAGATTATTGTTTCATTTACTCATAATAGTTCACTCATACTAAAATTTGATTCACTATGCTTCCTAGAATAATTGTAGTTACAAATTGACTGAACTATTCTGAGATAAGTTTTCATTTACAGATATTGATGGGGTACAATACAATGGAATAAATTTCCTTTCATAATGAAACGTAATGTTACAAAAAAGTAACTAACATCGACTTTCATGTTATTATTGGTTCCTAAATAGATATTTGAAGTGTCAGTCCATAAGTTGTTCGCAGATAAATTAACGGTATTTTATTATAACATTTCATAGCTAAACTATTCACTCTATTAACATACTTTAATAATCTATTTAACAATAGTTATTTAGAAATTTTATTGTATTTTTGATTTAGTATGTCAATTCTTCGAGAAAGAGGAGTTATTGATCATTTACTTGAGAAATGGAATGTTGAAAAAATAAAAAGTACCTCAAATACAGCCACTTTCAATTTAATTACATTGTACAATATATCTGGTGCTTTTATTGTACTTTCTGTATTCGTTGTAACAAGCCTAATTGTTTTAGTTATTGAAATAAAATGGCATAAATATTCATTAAAGAAAGAAAAACTTCATCCTAAATCAAAAAATTCTACTGATGGTCATCCATCTTTATTGAGACGCTTCACTCATCCAAAAGATGAAATACCTAAACCGAGATTAGACTTATCTCGTAATCCTACATTAAAACAATTAAGATATGCTGGACATAGAAGAGCTTCGGCAGCATTCGACGCTACAGTCATCACAGCTGAAAATCAAACTGAATCCAATTTAGAATAAATGATGATTTAATTATGTGATTCAAATTTCATATTACAATTCATGATTATAATATAAAAATAAGTCATCTACAGTAGATCTTTTTGTAGTACACACAAATTTATATATTGTAGTGATAAATATACACCAATTTTGAAATTATTATGTTTAACATTAACATAGAAAAGTTGCATAAATAAATATGACTAGTAATTATAGTTTTGTTATTCTGTATACTCATTACTCAAAAATAAAAGTAAACGTCATAATGAAATTTTCTATTAGAATAAACTGTAAAGCAGGTTTAGTAAGAGTATTTTATTACTTCGATTCAATGTATTGATTTTATGAAACCGTCATGATGTGATTGATCCCTCATTCTATTCAAATGAATCAAATGGTTTAAACATGTAACGAAATGGTAGCGAAATAGTTATTACATAAGTCTTTGAGAATGCACCAAAACTAATTCTTATCTTACTTATTTTATTATATCTGAATGAATATTTATCTTATTTAGATCTGTTGACATTTTGTGTGACTTTTTCTGACTAATATGAAATACTTCAAAACAATGCCATTTGTATAATGAGATTGAAATAATGATGTAATTTGTTTTGTCTGATTAAGGTCAATCTCATGATTGAAAATAAATTTATATTTTAATTAGACTAAATCATTTTGTTTCATATTATCCTAGGTTAAGAAATGAGCACGCATGAGAAAGCTGAAATTTTCGGCGAAATTAAATAAGCTAACGTGAGAACTTTGAGAATAGTTTCATCAAGAACCTATTGTAATTCGTAAATATTAGCATAAGTTTGTGGAGGTTGTTGAGATTTTGATTGAGATCATGAATCGATCAATGTTAGACCACCATTTGAAACTTGAGAGCATTGGACGAATTGTTCGTTCTTATATAAATCTCTTCAGCAGTGCACATCCACGATCCCGGACGCGGGATTTGAACTCTGGGTCTCGCACATGAACGCCTAACCTCTAGACCACTGAGCTGGTATCCAACGCTGTTCATGTCTAACTCCAACCGATTAGTGAAATTTTGAAAGTCAGATAGCTACTGACACTGAATTCATCAAAGTCTAGGTCACTTCAATCACTGCACAGATTTCCATGTTTTCATTGTGAGAGTGAAAGATAATGAGTTTAATCGCTTACTAGGTAGCTGGTGTTCATTTCTGAGGAATGCGAAGCTACAATAAAAATATGCTTAAAATAAACATCATTTCTTATCAAATTAATTTTTAGAGCGTTTCTATTCAAGAAGTGATGAAATAGAATGAATATATATCACACCACCAATCTTCTCGATGGTTCATTAATAGCAAAGACATATAGGAGCTGTGATCAGGTCTGACAACTATCTTATGTAAATGCATGCTAGACTACTTGAAAGTAGTGTAATTTTCGTGCGTGATTTTAGAAGTGCACTTTCCAAAGATCAGCTAAATCAGTGTTCGACATCATCGTACGAAATTTCGGTGAACACGTTAATTCGAAAATGGTAAATTAGGTCGGAAAATTATCAATTACTAATTGATTAGTGTGTGTATCACTGTGGCAACTGAACTATTGAAACAATCTTTCTATAGATGATCAGAATAGAACAGTATCTTGCTAAATGATGAACGTCAAGTGTTTTTAACCCAGTCGCTTGTGATAAGCTTTGTGTTGCTGATATACAATTGATAAACGGGTTTTTTATTCTCTCAATCACATAAAGAACTTATCGAAGGTTTTTGATAGTGTTCTATTTTATAGAGAATTCATGTCCACAGAGTTGTAGAATAAGTGACCCTGTATGAATTTGTGAATAACTGGCCAATAATACAACACTTGATTGAGAAACTATGGAAGAAGTGGAAAGTTTCACATATCTGGGTATCATCATCGATGAATGTGAAGGATTTGGTGTAGACGTAAATACAAGCATTGGCGAAATAAGGACAGCAATTCTACAGTTGAAGGACATATGGAACTCAAAACAACCGTCTATCAACCAATATCAAAATCACAATCTTCAATACGAATGTCAATACAGTCCTACTGTACGGAGCTGAAACGTGGAGAACTACTACAACTACCATCTAAGTTGTACAGATATTTATAAACAATTGTCTATGCAAAATACTCCAGATCCGTTGATCGGATACAATCAGTAACGACTTACTATAGGAGAGAACAAACTATCTTCCAACTGAAGGGGAAATTATGAAATGACACTAGAGGTTCTTGGACACACATTGAGGAAATCATCAAACTGCATCACGTGGTGAGCACTAAATTGGAATCGCAGAGGAAAAAGGAAAAGAGGCAGACCAAATAACACATTGCTTCTGGAATAGAAGTTGGACATTAAAAGACTGAATAGCAGTTGAAAATGTTTGGGAAGGACAGAGTTGAATGGAGAATGCTGGTGAGCACCCTATCCTGCTCCATGAGCGTTAACTGGAGTAAGTAATACAATTATATTCAACAACATTTAATCAGTATACAGTTATTTATTCTTAATTTTGTTTTGTGAATTAATTCTTGAACTTGTGACTGAGATTTTTTGATGTAATTGATTAATTCAACTAATAATCTGTAAAATTATTCCTCTGTGCACAATTCATATCCTGTAATTACTCATGTCTAATCGAATTTAATGACAACCTTTCTTTGAGACTGGACGAAAATGTATTATGATTTTTCAGTTATGTTGAAATTTTTTTATCGACGATCTCAAACTGAATTTGTTTGTCTTGTAAAATGTTCACTAAATGACGGAAATTTGAAAGATTTCACTTTATTTAAACGGCTACTTGCTTTGTAACTCGTAATAAATGTTGGCTTTCATCTGTGATTACTATACCGTTTTCTTGAATTCACTCTTAATTTTAAACAGATATGAAAAGTGTTTATAAGTATCGTTTCCTATCTGTTCAATCATAACTCATTAGTTTGTAGTATTATTACACATTTAATTAAAACAATTAACCTGGTAATATTGTTGTATGTAACAGCAAGTTACTAGTTTGTCTTGTTTACCGATATCGACACTGTTAGGTGGTTTGTTAAGTCATATGAATCAACGAGACCTGATCAAGTTAAAATAGTATTTTTCTGAATAACAGTCTTACATTTCATGTATGTAAAGAAATAAAATACGTTATGTAGATGAGACAGTTGTTGGATAAAAGCATGGTTATACGTCTGTTAATAATACTGACAGGCTACATCCAGAAATCAAAGAGATTATGAATATGAATATAATCTATTCAGATTCAGATTTGTGTAGTAAGGAAAGAAGGCTTACGGTCTATCTTATTCCTTTTCTAGTATGCTTCTATGAAAGTCTAGTCTTCTCTTGAATCAGTCAATTAAAGGTGCAGACACCACTGCTTCAGGTAACAGATTCCAAGTATTGATGACCCGGTGTGAAAACCTGTATGCGATGGGTATTTTATTCGTTCTCGGCTTTTCTATTCACCTGCTATGTCCTATGAGATGTCCCGATCTAGTGGGAAGAAAAACAGAGGATATGTTAGGTCCAAAATCATTTCTTAGTTTTCTGTCCATCAAACTCAGATCACTTCTCAATCTGCGATAGAACAGAGTAAATAGATCTAGCTTTTAAAGCCGCTCTTCGTATGGTAAACCCTGGAGTTCCAGAATTGTACGAATAGCTGCCCTCCAAGTCACCGTTTAAACAGGGGCTTGCAGTCTGAACGCAGTTCTCAATCTTAGTTCTCACTAAGGTTGTGTATACTGTAGTGAACATGGTAGTATTTAACACGGTGAATGTCCGTCTTAAAGCCTGAAGGTTTCCGAACTCCTTAGCTTCGACCTGCTGGCAATGGGCTGTGGTCTAAAGATCACCCCAAGAACATTGTGAGACCGGACCACGAGTACGGGTATTTCTCCTATGCCTTACCTAATTACCTTTGTATCCCTAAAGTGCATGCAGACACACTTTGCCACATTGATAGGCATCAAATACTCTTTAGACCAGCTAATCACAATATTTAAGTCCGTCTGAGGTGCGCATGCATCTGCGTCCCCTGGTATTTCTCGCGGGATTTTTACATCATTAGAGTATAGCAACATTAGCGAGTCAAATATACTTACGAGATCATTTACGTACAGTACAGAAAATAAAGGACCTAGAACAGTACCTTGTGGTAATACTGGTCTCCAGGTGGGGCACTTCGTTTTTACAATTAATTTCTGTCCACAACCTACCAGGAAGTCCTTAAGCCATTTTAGGAGAGGCCCGGCAATGTCTAGATTTTCCAGCTTCAATAACAGTCTATTTGTTGGCACTTTGTCAAATGCTTTGCTGAAGTCTATGTAGACCACATCCACTGATTTCCCATTGTCTAGAACAATTATACATTTCTCCCTTGCTATAAGGAGGTTTGTTATGCTAGATAAACCTGTTCTGAAATAATGTTGTTTGTTTTTTAACAAGTTGTTGGTTTCCAAAAATGTCATTATGACCTTTTTGAATATTCTTTCCATTATTTTAACTACGACACTGGTGAGGCTGACAGGTCTGTAGTTTGATGGAAGTTGTTTTGGTACTGTTTTATGCATTGGAGTGACAGCAGCATCCTTCCAGTTCGTAAGTAACACACCTTGGTCAAGTGACATATTGAGTACCACAGTCAGTGGGGCTGCAGTATATTGCACAATTTGTCTCAGGATTTTACAGTGTAGTTCATCCGGTCCTGTTGACCTTTCCGTGTCTAAGGTGCTAAGAGCCTTAATTTCATCGTCTTGATCAAAGTTCACAGTCAGTAGATGATTTGATGACTTTGTATTCGGGTCTAGTGCTTCTTCTAGAAGAGGTTCCTGAGTGAAAACTGCCCCAAAATAGTTTGTTGTAGCCTCTGCTTTTACTTGATCATCCCCTATCATTCCAGGCCCACCATCTTCATTAGTTAGGTTGGAAATCCAATACTGCATCCTTGTTCTGTACGAGGATAGTCTCTTAGGCTGCTTGATTACAGATTGTGCCAAATGTATTTCATATCTTCTCTGAGCTTCCCGGAATTTAATTATACACCTATTTCTTACTGACCTGTAGCGCTTCATATTACTTGCTGTGTCAAGACTGATAGTAACGTTCCAATATTTCTTATTTTGTCATAGTGAACGACAAATATCCCGACCTATCCAGAGATGGCCATGCTTCTTCTTCTTCTTCGGGACTGTCGAGGGTATATATGGTTGAGTTACCCGATTGTATAACTGCCTGAAATGAGTCCATGCCTCTTCTGTTGATACGCCTGAGTCAAGTTTCTAGTTTTCAGCCGATGCTGCAGAGTTTATCGCCCCCATGTCTGTCTTCCATGTGTTATGACGGGCCAGCCTCAACTGTTTGAACAAAATGACTGCATCATTGCTCCTCCCTAGAGTTGGTAGGAAATTCATTTGACCGACGTCATCACCGTGTGTGAAGACTAAGTTCAAGTGAGATGAGAAGCTTCATAAATCATATCTGGTGGGATCCCTAATGTGCTGGCTAAAGCTAGTGTAATTGAGCTTTCAAACAGTTTGCAACCAAATGACGATAT